TTGACTTTCCCAGGTGACATGGCTGCTGCATGGTGACCTCCTTCCATGGGATCACTTGACCTTTACGTTTCCTAAGTGAGAAAATCGAGGCTCAGGAAAATTGTATGACCCAGCAAGCTCACGTCAGAGCCGGGCTGGAACACCTCCTCCCCACATTTCTAGCTGCTTCCCAGTCAGTGGTTGTTGAATCAAGATGCTGCTGACTCACAGAGCCATGCCACCGTCCCTTTGTGTGTTCCTGTGGTGTCATCAGCAGCTTAATGCTGGAATTACTTCAGAGTGAGAGAAAATAACACTTAATGTATATGGTACTTCAAACACTTAATTCACCCTTAATATCTGCCCTGTGAAGGGAGATAAATATTAATCTCCCCACTTCACAGGTAAGCATAGTGAGGCTCAAGTAGAATAGTGATGTGCCCAAATTCACCCAGCTTCTAATGAATGCAGGAGTTGGGATTCGAACCCCAGCCTGCCAGCTCCCAAGGCAGCACAGCGCTCCATCTGCTCTGCTGACAGCCGCTGCTCACAGGCGGGGGTGGGGAGGCCTCTTGTTTTCCTCACAAGGGTAGGTAGTCCCCTGTCGCTGCTTGTCTGGGGTAGTGGGGTGGGTCATCCTCTGCCAAAAACAAGAGAGACTCCACCTACCTGTGTTCTCCCCAGGCACCTTCAGCGCCCCATGGGTTGCTCTGGCCCGTAGCCGTGAACAGTACTGCCTGGCCTGGGAGGCCAAGTACCTGATGGAGCTCGGCAACGCCCTGGAGACCATCCTCAGTGGTCTTGCCAACATGGTAGCACAGGAGGCCTTAAAGTACACAGCATTGTCTGGTAAGTTACCCCAGCCCCCGCCAACACCATGCCCACTGCCTCCATCCCACAGTGGTGCCATATCTTTGCATGTCTGTGCCGGACCCTAGGAACACAGAGAGGTTAAGGCCACATTCCTGTCTGTAAAGAAGTTTATAGTCTCTATCAGGAGGAGTTAGGTAAAAAAAACCAATCACATGATGTATGAGTTAGCTATTGCTGCATAACAAGTCACCCCAAAACTCAGTGGCTTGAAATAACAATCATTTATCATAATAGCTTGGGTGCCGTGATAATGGAGTTGGCTCAGCTGGGCTTGCTAAGATCAACTGTCCGCTGACTGAGGCTAGCCTCATCTGGGCCAACTTGGCTCTGCACCATTTGTCTCTATCTTCCTCCTGGGTAACAGGCTAGCCCCTATCAATAGCAGAAGCACAAAGGAGGCTGGCCTCAATGCACAAGTCCATTTCAAGCCTAATTAACATCTCAGTGTCTAAAGCAAGTTCACATGGCTGAGTTTAGATGGGTAAGGGCAGAATGGGGTGTGGGGGGG